TCTGTTTACTATACGGATGAAGGACTTCGCGGTTCAATACGCGCCATGGAAAATTTTGACTTACATGTATGTTATGTGCTAATCTTCGAGTGCTGATGGAAGGATTATCAATGACAGCATTAATTACAGCTTCTTCGTCCTCTACATTAACTACATGCGGTCGAGTAGCTTTTGCTGGAGCAGGATTACCTGTTTCTCGAAGTCTTCTGAAAGAATCGCTAAAAACTGAATAATATGGCAAATGACGCTGTGGAAATTTTTCTGTATATTCTCGTACTGATTGTCGAGCATTTTCATTACAAAAACCATACACGAAAATTATATCAGCATACTCTTCGGTGCTATAAGCATACATTTTGAGTTTCTTCTTGTATGTAATAATTAAACCATAAAGCAAACCGCCAAATTACAATGACAACTTTGTTTTTGTTGAATGTTTGATTTTACTGGCTATTAATAAATTCGCTGCAGAAAACTTTAAAGTGTTATAATTTCGTAAATAATTGAAATAGGACATATGTTCATTAACATTTTTTTTTTGNAATATTATTAGGATTAGCTATCATATGTTAAAGTTTGATGGTGAGGTAATAAATCACCCTGTATATAAAACAATTTTGAACATCTTTCAGTACTTATTGACTTACAAAATTTCCATGTTCTTTGACTTTTAAGTATTAGAAATACAAATAGGCATTTTCTGAACAATCTGATCACTGTCCAAAATTCATCCCTATGTTTAAAAGTTGCATTGTCAACTAATGCATTAAAAAAGCTCAACTCAAAAGGTAGCGGAAAAGCAAGGCAGCTAAAATATTGATTATTAAATTCTAGCATCAATTTGTTTGGCCCAATGAATACGTGATAGTTCTGATGTGTTTATTGCTATCTTTAAAAATCCTGAGATATCTTTGGAGTAATTTTTGGAAATTCTGTAGAATTTCTGGAAACTGTCCCATTAAAGTTGAATCCCTTTTTTATATAGCTTTTTTTTAATTGTTACATTAGTTTTAAGTATTTGAAATAGACTAAAAAGAATTAGCAAAATAGCCAAAAAAGAGAATGTAATTATAGTTTTATTGATATAAAATATTGTCTAAATTTTGTTAGTTTTAAAACTTTTGATTCTTGTTTGAAAGTTTGGTTTGGAGCTGGTCCGCGCAGAATTTAAAATAGACAATGTTTGGCCTGGTGACCTTGGACGACGCAGCATCCGAACTTGAGATCGCCCCAGGATGCAATTAATGCATGCAGACGTGGTCGGGCGGGCGGCGCGGTGCGACCGAGAGCTGTGGCCAAAAGAAAAAACACCGAAATAGGTTCATCAGGGTTTATTTGATCGCCGAAAACGCGAGGGATCTCACCTTGAACGTGCGCCTGGATTAATGGACTCTATAAACTGCATTTTTGCCTTCTTCCCTCTGCCCTCTACCACCAGTTCCACCTCTCCCCTCGCCGTCGCCGTACCATGCTGCCGTTCTTGTCGCGACGGCTCGACCCAGAAGAACAAAGAATCGCGAACGTTACCGCGACCACTTGCGTACTACACTATACATATACAACCCAGAGTGTCCACTTATTTTCTTTTATAAAATCCTCGTACATTCTTAAATGTCTTTATATGTGTTTATCTAAAAGGTTTAATTATAATAGGAATATAATGTTAGGTTTAAAAATGTTTTTCTGATTGTGGTTTTGATGTTTCTGCAGAAAATGACAATTATCATTCTCGACTCCTTAACGACCTCCCGAATGGGTTAATTCATACTTACGAAACAACATCGCATTTCTCATTGTCAAAAGCTATATGGCGTCTGCTACGATTAGCGCTTAAATGAGAAAATAACTTTACGTTTTGTTCGCGAAAAACAAAGGAAACATAATGAAGTAATGATGCAGACCGACGACGGACGTCGGGTTTCTTGATTGTGAGACGAAGAGAAACAATCTATCGTCGACAAAGAGAAACAATCCACTCCGGGCCAGAAACTAATTTCAATCAAAAAATAGGATGACACAAGCCGGAGGAGTGTAACATGCAACGATTTTCTCGTTGTCGTGAATTCTTTTTTTTTGCTCGTTCGCGTCGTTCTTTTTTGCCTTTTTCGATATTCTCGTTTTTTTCGGTCGTTTTTTTTTCTGTTCTTCTCGCGGAGGAGTGGAATCGAGTGTTGTGCAAGGGCAAAAGTACGTTTACCTCGCGGCGAGTGTTTTGCACACGTAATTAACAACAATAAACGCCGACATTTAATCATTTCGTCTTACGTCTTGTCGTTTGAGCTGTTGCTTGTCGTGTTAAAATAACTTTTCTCTTACTCTTTGTCCAAGTTCAATGTCGGCTGCGTTCACTTTTGCACTCTCTGCACTACGTACATATGTACGTAACGTTCATTATTTATTTGCGATTCTCGTAGACGCTTTTGTGATGCTATTTTTGCATTCTTTCGGTGCATTCACCCGGATTTCAAATAATGACTAATGAATGTCGGCGAAGGTAAACGCCTTTTTTGTCTGTCGAGATTTTATGTAGACATTAAACTTTATAACGATATAACTTTATTGTTGATGGTTTAAATAAAAGCGTCAAAATTAATGGTGCAGAAAGAATTTTTTTTTAATAATAAAAGTAAAGAGGCATAATAAAACAAAACAAGAATTTAATTTAATTAACTATACTTTAATGTAATGGAAACCGTTAAATAATAAAGTTTATTTTTCCAGAACATGAAGACAAGGTGCATTATTTTGCCAAAGATGATTTGCAATATTGCAGAAAAACGATATTAGAACTTTACAATTTTTATCCTAGATTAAGAAAAATAGATCAGAGCGTTTGTTGGTCCAATAAAAGGGTTGGATTGGGTTGGGTTGGGTTGGGTTACGTTGGGTTGGGATGAAATTTGTTGCAGAATAGGAGGGCAAAAATAAACGGAAATAAGGAGGAGAAAAAACCGTATTAGTTGTTCAAGATAAATAAGATGGCAAAATGTTTTAAAATTGTGGAAGCGGCGAATTCTGGTCATCTGCTGCTGGAAGTAAGATTTTTCAAGAATTCTTGTGCTGTTCTTACAGTCGCTCTTTCACGTTCTTTATTCATGATTATATTTGCTTTGAATGATTTGATAATTAGAATTTTTAGAATCATTTGATACAAATTTGGAAACAATATTCAGTTGCTACGTCATACCAAGATGAGATACTTTTTCTTAAAAAAATATTTACAGAATATTTGATTTAGATTCTAAATACTCAATATAAATCCCATTTCTTCATAAATTTCCAAATAACTTGTCCATAGATAAAAATGAAAACTTTAATAAAATTATTGTGATGAAGACTTACAGAGTTTACCCAATTAGAGTTGAGTGAATTCGGGCTAAAAATAAAAAGTGAATACTCATCACTTAAGAAAAAACCGTTGGCATTCCTAATTC